GGCAGAGAGGCGCAAGGATGGTGAAGTTTCTCAAACCAGGCAAGGCGGTGATCCTTCTACAGGGCTGGTACGCCGGTCGCAAGGCGGTGATCGTAAAGTGCTTCGACGATGGTCCCCAGGGACGCTCCTACGGCCGGTGCCTCGTGGCCGGCATAGCCAAGTATCCGGCGAAGATCATCAGGAAGGACTCTGAGAAGAAGCGCGCGAAGAAGTCTCGCGTCAAGGTGTTCGTGAAGATGGTCAATTACAAGCACATCATGCCCACCCGTTACACGCTCGACGTGGATCTCAAGAAGGTCGTCACCCCCGATTGCCTCCAGACTCGCGACAAAAAGGTCACCGCTGCTAAGGAGGCGAAGGCCCGATTCGAGGAGAGGTTCAAGAGCGGGAAAAACCGCTGGTTCTTCACCAAGCTCAGGTTCTGAGCTGAAATGGTGGTAGTTCTGGGCTCGATTCTAGGTAAACCTGTTTTTTTCTTTATAAATCTGTTGGAAATCTGAGATTCATATTGTTAGTACTGGATTTGCATTTTGTTTCTCTCGTCTTCAAACTTATTTCTTGTTACTCAATTTACAACATTTCAGGATCTAATTTTGTGTTTTTCATTGAATGAAAGCTTCTTGTTTATCAATATATATATATATATATATATATATATATATATATATATATATATATATATATAATAATTTTTATTATCATTGAAAGAAAGAGAAAAAAGTGCAAAGTAGGGGGTTGGCCGGACCCCTACAAGGCCTAAATATCTAACAGTCCAAAGATTGAAAATTGACCAACATAAATAAACAACTAAAAGAGGTCCCAAAGCTTTGTTAAGTCCTTGTAAAGCTCACCACACTACACTACAAAGCTCACCAATGGACAATGCAAAGCTCACCTGGAAATAAAGCAAAGCTTACCACTTTGAACACCAAAACATACCTTTTTTTTAATTTTAAAAATTAAAAAATTAATTAAAAATAAAATAGCAAACCGGTCAACCAGGCAGTGGCAGGCGGCGGAGCAGTGGCGGCAGGCAGCGGCGGATGCCGAAGTCAAGCGACGGCGGCCGGCGGTGGTTGCCGGAGACCGGCGGTGGCCGGAGACGGCGGTGGCGGCCGGAGTCCGGCGGCGGTTAATTATGGCGGTCAACGGTCAAAGTCTAGTCAGCACCCTTCATTTGATTTTATTTTTTCAAAAAAAATTTAAAGTGTTAAAAAAATGTGGTGAGCTTTGCCTTACAGCCTAATCCGTCCAGGTCTGCAGCCCCTTTCAGACTAAAGTATAAACTAGGTAATCATAGAATCTAAAACATTTCAAACATCTTTATTCATCATAAATAATACGGAGTATTCAATACATAACTATAGACAATATGGAGTGTTCAATTCAATAATGCGGAAGCGAATTTAAACAATGTCTCATAACAACACAATTATTCATTTTAATCATAAATCCACCACGACTATCTCGTCCCATCCGCTGCCAGGATTTTGCCAATCATTCATTCTGCCTCCCTTTGTGTAGCAAATAAAACACACTACACGCTCAGTGGTGATGCTCAGTTAGCATATCTAAAGCGTCAAACATCATGTGCCACATAAATTGAATCTCAATTAATAATCAACCATTTGATATCATGCACACAATATATGATTCAAGCAGTCATTTTGATATTCAATATCTCAACAATGCCCTTAAATTATTTTTAATCTAAGGCCAGATCATTTTGTAACAAGCTCTTTGCTATTTTCTAGTCTAAGGCAATATTTCTAACCAGGCTCTTAAACTATAAATAGTTTAAGCCAGAACACAAGAATCGATAATCCACCCTTTGAGTCATGTGGATTATGTTGGACATGAGTTCAAACCCCTTTACTATTCCTTCTAGATTATTTTTTTTGTTTTGATGAATGACAAACAGGATGATTAAATTCAAGCTGATCGAAAATTTATTTTCGTATCGAGAAAAGCAAAGAGGCGTATCAAGATAAAATCAAGGCTTACCCCTACGCAGAATTTTTTTTGAAGTGAAGTAAACATTCCGAAGACCTTTTATTTTTTTATTGAGTCTAGGAACTTTGTAAGGATGACAATATTTTCTGCACAAACAAATTATTTTTAAGGGATAGAAATTATTATTTTCTGAGTCAAGTGAAAAATTACTTTTCCTCTGTCTAAAAATATTTTACTGAGTCAAGTTCAAAATAAGTGTGTCAAAGTTTCTTAAAAACATTTTTTTAAGAATACACAAATTTTTTTTGTAAGAAAAATATACTTTAAATATTTTTCTTGTACATCGTTTGACACACAAAATAATTTTTGGACTCTTTTTCTCTCCCCTACTCAAATTCATTGAATAGGAGATATGAGGAGCGTCCGTTGATATTCCCGTTGTCCCAAACAACGAGTTAGAAGCCAAAGGCTTCCAATCGCACTTGGCTTGGGCCCTTTATGTTTGCGCATTATTTCCACTTTAATCGATTAATATTTCTAAATTAATCGATTAGATCCAGTTCCGGATTTCTCAAGCCTTCATTATTAATCGATTTTTCTTATTCATTTAATCCATTAGTTCTCACAGCGCAGTCTAATCGATTTTTCCATCAAACTTAATCAATTAAGATTGCATTCTTCGCTGAAGACTTTTTTCCAATTAATCGATTTTTTTCTTCACCTTAATCGATTAGTTCAAACAGCGCCGTCTAATCGATTAATTACTCCACTTTAATCGATTAGTTTTGTCTGGTGCCTATTCTCAGCCTGCTCCAACGGTTCTATTTTCTTCAGCCTATTTAATCCCTCTTTCTCCTTCATTTTAAGACACAACTCTTGCACTCCAATATCTTCATTGAGCTATATTCATTTCTTGCTTCCATCTTCCTCATCAAATATATTATTTTGAGAGTTAGAAATATTTTATTGAGTGCTAAAGATTTTGTCATCCATAGAGCTTTAATTCTTCATTGTTAGACAATGCGTGCAACTCTAGAGGGGGGGTGAATAGAGTTGTTGAGAATGATTACCGATTTTCGCAGGATTAATAATATAAACGTAAGTGCAGCGGAAATAAAAGAGAGAAGGCAAAGAACACACCGATGTATACTGGTTCACCACCTCGTGGCTAGTCCAGTTCCCCGAGAGACTCTCTCGAAGCCACCACTACTTTCGTTAAGCTTACGGGTGCTTAACAAACCATTTACAACTCGAGAACTTGAATCCCACAAGCCTCAACACAATCGCTCGTAGATATGCCCTCTACAAGACTTCACAACCAAGACTTAAATCACATAAGCCTTGAACAACAAGAAGAACAATCTTCTTCAACCTCTCAGCAATAACTCTCACAAGAGTAGAAATGAGAAAAGATTAAGCTCTATGGATGACAAGAACACTCTCTTGAAAACACTTAGTTTTCTCTCAAAATATATCAATTTGAGGAAGAAATGAATGGAGGATTATAACTTCAA